CCCCCCCCCGCCCCAAGTGGGCGGAGGTGAAAAACAACACAGCGGGAGAGGCCCTTCCCAGCTGTGGAAAAATAAAGACCGAGGAGGCGGCTTGTTCATCCCGGTCCTTCATGTCAGGCCTTTTCAGACTTAAGCGAAGCTCTTTCTGCCCCGCTTGGGGGACTTCTCTGACAGCACAGGTTTTCGGGGGGCCGTCCCTGGGTTTGTTTGTGGGAGCGATGGCGGGGGGGGGTCTCTTGTGCCCCTGGGTGGGAAGGCTGGCACAGCAAGGTCTGCTCGGAGGCTTGTGGGTTTCCCTCGCCCGGGCCCTGGGCTGAATCCGTCACCATCTTGAGAGCGGGCGGATCTGAACGTGGGCGAAACCTCCAGAAACCCCGGGCTGCTTTGTCCCAGCATGCAGAGGAGTCCTGAAAACCGGGATTCCTTTCTCCCGCCGCTCGCATCACTGAGCAGTGGTATTCTGCAGTCTCGGCCTCGGGTGAGCCGGCCCTCCGGCTGTCACGGCGCGGCCGCCACGACCCCACCCCGGCCATCGAGTCATGTCCCACCCCCTTGCATTCTGAAGATGGTTTTCTGTTCGGTTATGCGTCCGTGGTCTGGAAACTGAGTAAACGAATTGGAAAGGGGGGAGGTTTGAGACGGTAGGTTTGCGGGGAGATGGGAAGGAGCCCGGAACGAAATGAGAACCGGGCGGTTCCGTCCTGCCCACCGTCGAGTGGGGTCCGGGCCCTGCCTCAGGCCTGGAGCTCTGCTCGCAACGTCAGGTGGAAGGCTGTCACGTCCCTGGGGAACCAGCCCGGAGGCCATGCTGGCAGACCTTTCCCGCGAAGCGACCCGGGGCCCTGGGTCACTGTACTTCGTCGCCCCGGACCCTGGGCTTCACTGGGCTTTCTCCCGTCCACAGTGGCCTCGTTTACTCGTGTTCCGGTTTCTTCTTATTGTCCGCATCGGATATAAACGCCGCGAGAGAAAGGACCCTGGCCCCCGGGACACAGTCCGCTACTTGAGGAAATGCACGAGTGAATGAGAGCAGACCTCGGCCCGGGCTGAGAACCTGAAGGGGTGCCACCCACGCGGCCAGCCCGCGCCCTGGCCCCGCTTCTTTGATTCCGTGTCCTTGCTGTTGGTTCAGTGCGGGTTTTCGATATCAGAGCTCCTCCGAGGGCCATCTCGCACAACCACGTGGGCTCCTTGGTGCGCCTGCCTCCGTCTGCCCTTTCTCACCCACGCGGTGCATGACCGCCGTCAGAGAATGCCCCGTCTGTCCCCGGCTCACCGAGCTCCGCAGGAGAAGCCGGGACGGCCCGTGACGGAGGATGGCCAGCCCGTCGACGGCCCACCCCGGACCTTATTGAACGTGGTGGTGAGGGGCACTGCCGGGCTGCTGTCGGGAAGGGGCGTGACTGGCACTGACCGAGGAGGGTAGGCAGGGTGGACAGAGCCCCTGGGGCCCAGAATGAAAGAGCTGCCACAGAGCGTTTGTACTCGATATTCACGAAGCGTGTCTTTGCCGCCTCCTGTGTGCTTAGGGGCGATGCTGGGTGCTGGGCTTCCCAAGAACACGGGTCTTTGACTTGAAGAAGGCACGGAGTGAAGAGTCACAGCGCAGGACTTACTTGTCTCGAGCCCCGAAGAGAAGGGCCCCCCGGCGGATCAGGGAACGGCGAACGGGGTTGAGGCAGGGTGGATCCTGATTCGGGCAGGAAGCACAGAAACCCACCTGATGAGGGAGGGGCTGTCAGGTTGGGGGTACCGCGCGGGCAAGGACCGGGGTGCGCGAGGGCATACATAGATGGGGTCCGATCAGAGGCTGGGGTGATAGAGGATGGTGATATGTGGGGCGTGGAGCCCCCTGTACCAGATAATGCTTGTGCTTCATTCTGTAGGCACTGGGGGGGGGGGGGGGTTACGTGTTTTAGGGGAGGAGAAGGGGTCAGGCTGGATCCAGATGTGTCCCTGGACCTTGGATTCCAGGTGCGTCCCTGCTCCTTGCCACGTCTCCCAGTCTCCGAGCCACCCAGAGGCAGCGGTCAGTGGAGAGCCCCAACCCTGAGTGTCCTTCCTTCCGATGATCAGGACGCCTGGGGGTGGGGGAACCTAATTTTCGTACTCCTCTCCAGGTAGATTTGTGTGAAGGAAACAAATGAGTAATTCTGACACGGATTCCCCGGGCCACGCCCCCTCCGTCTGGTTTTCACACCTGGCTGTCCACAGCCGCAGGGCGCGCCCCGCAGCCAGGCCTGTGGTTGCCGGTCTGCCGCGTACTCCCTCCTCCTCTGGCGGGTAGCCGTCGGGTGGCTGGTGGGTCCCAGGGCCTGCGGTCACTCTCTCACTGCGTCGCTGGTGACAGGCTCTGTCTTCCTGCACATCAGTGTCGACCTTCAGAGCGCGGGGGGCGGTCTTTGAGTTTGCATACCTTCCTCGACTCACCCCAGGTGTTGTTTTTTCCTGAATGAAAACAGTCCTCACTGATTTTTGTTTGTCTGTAAACACAGCCTGTGTTTCTTTTTTGCACCGAAATTTTACACGCGTGAAGGACAGAAGCAGAAGGCGGAGGGGTCCCTGGCCCCATCGCCCGTCATTAACCTCTTTGAGCGGTTTGGGGCGTAGACGCCGCGGCTGTGTATAAATTCCGTGGGGTTGGCCGAGGGGCTGGCCCCTCCTCTGCGGTGCCCGGTGGAGAGCGTGCGGGCAGCCCTGGGCGCATGCTTGCTGCTTCCCGGGTCTGTGGAAGGGCCGGGTGCTGGTGCCTCCTTGTCCGTGTGTCTCTGCACACCTGTCCACAGATGTTCCAGGACACTAAGCCGTGGGCCCTTCCCGAGCTCGAGAAGCCATCCGTCGGCGACGTCGCGAGCGTCACGGGGCGGGGGGGGAGGGGCGCACAGCTGTGAGTGGCAGGTGCTGTTACCGTGGTGGCTGACCGCACGGTGTGTACCCCTCCTCACTTTCATCGACCTTGGGCTCCGTGTCGGGGTTCTTACTCTCTGTGGGGACAAACCACGGCCGGCTCTTTGCCGTCGGCACGTTGAGGTTCTCTACCGCTGCTTCTGGTCCACTTTGTGCAAAACACGTATCTGAGTGTGTTTGTACCGGGAACTGTGACGACACTGAAGGAGAGGGCTTGGCTCAAGCGGTGGCCCTGAGTAGATCTGGGGGGCCGAGTGTGTGCGTGGAAGGTGGCACACGGAACCCCGAGGTTTTCGTTCCGCGACATGCTTCCGATAGGAGAAGTTATGTCTCGTGTCCGGGAATCCCTCGCAAACAAGACACAGGGTCTGTCCTCGTGGCGGGGAGGGAAGGGCCGTCGGGGACAGGGGCAGGCCTCCCTGGAGGGACCGAGGCCAGCGCTCAGAGCTGGGTGCTGGAGCCGCCAGGGTGGCCGGGGGTCACTGGTGGCGGCTATGGCTGGGGTCGTTTGAGTCCGGGTGCGGGCTCTTTGGAGAAGGTTCTCTGAGAAGAGAAACTTACTCTAGGATACAAATCGAGGGAGGGGCGGCTGTTTCCAGGAGTGAGGTGGGGTGGGATAAACCCCCAGAGCCTTGGACGCTGATGGAAGTCACGGGGAAAATCGCGAGGTGGGGGCAGACGGGGGCTGGACGGGATGGCGTGCGGCGATTCTCTGCGAATCGGCAGAAGAGCCTCCTTATCGCCCCAAACAGGAGGCAGGTAGCGAACCAGTGTGCATTTCGGCAGGTTCCCGGGGCTCCTGCGCCCCCAAAGCAGGGGCTCCCCTGCCCGCCGCTCATGGGGGAGTGCGGCCCTTCTGGTGTTTGCACATCTCGGGAATAGAAGCACGCGCGGGATTCGCATACAGCAAAACCACAATGATACTTCATTACGTGTTCCTAAGAGTGTCTCCCAAAACAGCGCTTGGCAGACTGGCTCCTTCCTGTGAAGGAAGTCGCGCTGGACCGAGCTGTGCCCGGCGGTTCCCACACGTTTCTGCTGCCTTCCCTCCACGCCGGTGGATTCGGGTGGCTGTGGCAGAGACCGCGTGGCCCGCAGAGCCACGTGTGGCCCTCTGTCCACCAGGTTTGGCCACCTGGCTGAAATTGGAGTTCACTCTGAGATTGCAGCCGGAATCAGCATCGTTTTGAATGGGGTTTTCTGGGATGACGTGTGTGTGTGTGTGTGTGTGTGTGTGTGTGTGTGTGAAAATTGAGGAGGAAGCTACAGGGAAAGGTGTCAGAGCCTCCTATGGTGAAGCTCTCTACTACCCAGCTCTGGTGGCACCCGAAATGTGCCCTTAAAAAAGTGTCTAAACTGCCCCTTGGTGGTGGCGTGGCAGTTTTGTGACGCTTGAAGCTGGTGTGGCTCGATCAAAGTTGTGTCACCGGAGCTGAAGTTGGTAAAGGAAGGCACCTCCGTCCCTGTGCTCCCCGCGCTCCACGGGATGGAGACCCCGTCCTTGCTCAGCGCCCCTGGGGACAGAGACGCGACTCTGGCACGTTCTGTTACCTGGAAAATGAGGTCGCCTCCAGAGCCGGGCGGCTGAGCGAGTGCACAGACACACGCTTGCTTTGTGTGAGTGGAAGCTGAGTGGGGACACTGGGGGGCCGACCGTCCAGCTCTGTGAATAGCCCATTTTCTGAAATACATAAGTAGTTGAAACGAGGCGCAATCCAGACCCGCGTTTTATCGGGTTCCGTTCCTGACGTCGAGTAGCAAGTGTCCGCAGAACCGTGGAGGCCGTTCGTTGGCCTGAGCGCCACGAAATGTGGCCCTGCCTCCATCTCTGTCACCCCGAGCGGTGGGACCCCGGACAAGCCACCTGGCGTCTCCGGGTGTCTGGATCGGAGCAGAGGACAGGCAGGCGGGTCCGGCTCTGACGCTCAGTCGGGGTGGGGGCCTCTCCGTCACTCTCTCGGCTTCATCTGCAAAATAGGGTGAGCTCAGCCCCTGCTTCACAGGGGTTCTGAGGAGCGGATGAGCCCACATGAGCCCACAGAATGAGCCTGGCTCACAGTAAGTCTCACTAGTAGTGGCCTACTGCGAAACAAAACAAACCGGAAAAGGACCACGGGATCCTCAAGCTGCCTTCTGGCTAACCACAGGTGCAGCTAGTTGCAGCTTTGGGACCCGGGACAGCACCAGATTGACCCGTCACCCCTGTTTCCAGTTGCAGAGCCTGGGGCGCCTGGGTGACTCAGTCAGCTGACCGTCCGACTCTCGGTTTTGGTTCAGGTCATGCTCTCGCAGTCTGTGAGTTCGAGCCCCACGTCAGTGCGGAGCCTGATTATGATTCTCTCTCTCCCTCTCTCTCTGCCCCTCCAACGCTCACGTTCTCTCTCTCTCTCTCTCAAAATAAATAAATAAACTTTAAAAAAAAATTGCAGAGCTTGACCTGCTGGGGCATCCAACTAATGCATTTAGGAAATTGCCAAAAAAAAAAAGTCACTAATCGTCCGTACTGTTAAATTCCCAGACATCGAGATGAGGGTTCTCTGTCTTGATTAGCTGCGCCCTTTATTTTTTTGTTGTTTATTTTTAAATTTTTTTTAATGTTTACTTATTTTGGGGAGACAGAGAGAGAGAGAGAGAGAGAGAGAGAGAGACGGAGTGTGAGCGGGGGAAGGGCAGAGGGAGAATGAGACACAGAATCCAAAGTAGGCTCCAGGCTCCGAGCCGTCCGCACAGAGCCCGACGCGGGGCTCGAACTCACCGGCCGCGAGATCATGACCTGAGCTGAAGTCAGACGCTCAACCGACTGAGCCGCCCAGGCGCCGCCCCTAGCTGCGCCCTTTAAAGTTAGCGACCCGGCAGACCGTAGCCGCACTCATCCAAGGCCACCCGCCATCCTCACAAAATACGGACAGAGTTCTCGAACGAGCCACGTGTTCGGCTCAGTCGGGAAGGGGCTGCTTCCTTTGTTGTTCTTAACGTGCTCTTTGGAGTCTGGAAGTATCCACAGCAGGTGCTCCATGGAGCGTGGAGGGACAGGACGAACTCCAGGTGCCTTTCTGCCTCCAGCCTCCCCAACCCCATGCTCGCCTGAGGAACCATCTCCAGGGTGCTCCCACTTTTCCCACTGTCGGGGTGTAGTCCGAGAGGGTGCTGGGCGGCAGAGGCCTCGTGGATGGTGCCAGGCCCGCGTGCACCCGGCAGCCGTCACGAAACGTGGGTGGCTGGACTTCTGCATCTCCCCGTGTGCAGACGCGTGGGCCTGCTGGTTTACGCCGGCTGATGTGACTTTCTTTAAGACCCCAGCCCGGGGTCGCACAGAACACACCGTGTTGGAAGCCGGCCTGATCCCACCCCTTTCCTAGATGGGGAAGCAAGTCCCCGGTGGCCACCAGCTGGTCCAGGGCCCGCCTCTGTCGCATTGCCTCCTTCCCGCCCAGGGTGGCCGGCATTCCTTGCCCTCCTGAGTCCCTCCAGACTCCTGTCCTGAAAACACACTAGAAAGTTCCTGCAGCTTAGGCAAGGGAGCAGTCCTGTCAGTTCCAGAAAGTTTTCTGATGGTGCTTCCTTGGGTTCAGCCTCCGGCCTCCCCGTTCTCCTTTTCCTCCACACCAGGCCTTCGCTTTGCCCCCCAAACCCGAGAGCCCAGATGTCCGGGTGAGCTGCGGGCCCCAATCTGAGCCCTCTGCCTGCGGAGCTCTGCATCCGGCCGAGGCCCGCGGCACCTAACGTCAGCCCGGCTCTGGGTCCGGTCCCCTAAGCCCCGGGCGTGTGTTCTGTCTCCCCGAAGCATCGCCCTCTCCAGCCGTCCCGAGGGTGCAGAAACGGGGCCAGCTGCGCTCCCCTGCCCTCCCGCCGGGAGTCAGCATCCTGGGGCCGCTGAGACAAAGTACCACGGACCGGGTGGCCCGGGACAACAAAAGCTTATTCTCTCCCAGCGCTGGAGGTGTTCGCGGGCCTGGGTCCTCCGGGAGCTGCGAGGGAGGGGCTGCCTCTGGTTGCTCTGACAGCAATCCTTGGCCCTCGCTGCCTGCGGCCGCCTCTCCCCCGTCTCTGCCTCTGTCCTTCCGACGTGGACATGTCTCTCCTGATAGAGACAACCGGTCACTGGCTGAGGGGCGGCCCTCGTCTACCGTGACCTGGTTTTAACTAATTCACGTCTGCAAAGCCGCCGTTTTGAAACGCAGTCATTGTGAGGTTCCGGCTGCCCGTGAACTTGGTGGGAGAGCACAGTCAAGCCCAGGCCACCCCGCAAGCCATTGCTCTCGCTCCGTCCCGTGCCGCAGCCACGCTGGAGTTCGGGGGGCACTTACTAGGCTTAAAACTTTGCGGGGGAAAAGAGTGCACCGCCTCCGCGCGGAGCTCTGCCTGAGACCAGAGCCAGCCCTCTGACCTGCCCGGTGCTCTGCTCCTTTGTCCTCAGGCCTTACTGAAAATGGACTGCCAGGGCCTGGTGGTCAGACTCATCCAGGACTTTGTGCTCCTGACCACGGCGGTGGAGGTGGCCCAGCGCTGGAGGGAGCTGGCCGAGAAGCTCGCCAAGGTGTCCAAGCAACAGATGGACGCCTACGAGTCTCCCCACCGGGACAGGAACGGGGTCGTGGACAGCGAGGTGAGCGTGGGCTGTGACACACAGTCACGGCGACATCCACCCGACAGTGCGTTCGTGGGGATAAGCGAGTTAGTGTGGGAAAGCACGTGGCGGGCTCTCCCTGCGTGGGGCAGGCCCCATCCCCCCCGGGACAGTTGGTTCTGACCGTGGCAGGGCCGCTGTGCCCAGAGGAGGGAAGTCAGAGCGGCCAGAGCAGAAATGCCCGCCCCTGCAGATCCTGATCTTAAATTACCTTCCGTCGGACGGAGAAACTTTACCTCCCGTGTGAACGGAGCCCTTTGTGGCCGCTTGTGGTCGGTCTCCGTCCGGGTCTGTGTTGGATGGGTACCAGGTATGTTGTGTACCTTCGGCCACAGCTGGTGGGGTTCCTGCTCAGAGGTCCTTTGTATCCTCCCTTGTTCGCTTTAAGCTTCCGGAAAGATGGCTCACGCCCGGGAGACCCGGGAAGCAGGAAGTCCCCAAGAATAAGGGAGTCCTTTATTAACGCAGCGAGTTTCTAAAGAAATGGCCCACACGGAAAATGCCACAGGGGTTGTAAGGAGAGAAATCCTTCCTGTTGGCCCAGACACGATTTGCCACTTAACCGGCCCTCGCACGAAACACGTTCCTCCCTCCGTGTGCTGGTCCCAGGCAGAGTCCGTCCCCCCTGCTTCGCTGGGCTTCTCACTCTCAAAAGAGAAGCCTAAGTAATGAGCCCAAGGAGCTGCGGGTAAGAGGATCGAATCAATAGGATCAAATGTCTTTGCTGTCCCCTAACCTTTTCTTCCCCCTCCCTCCTTTTATTTTGGACTCCGCCACCCAGGCCATGTGGAAACCCGCCTATGACTTTTTACTGACGTGGAGCCACCAGATCGGGGACAGCTACCGGGACGTCATCCAGGAGCTGCACATAGGCCTGGACAAAATGAAAAACCCCATCACCAAGCGCTGGAAACACCTCACGGGGACTCTGATCCTGGTGAACTCCCTGGACATCCTGAGGGCAGCGGCCTTCAGTCCTGTGGACCATGACGACTTTGTCATTTGAGCGGGTTCCCTCCCGTCCGCTGCTGCTCTGGGGCATGCACCCCCCCCCCCGCCCCCACCGCCCCCCGTCTGTCCCAGATGCCCGGGCAGTCACCTGGAGCGGGGGAGGCAGGAGGGGCCGGCTGCTCGGACACATCCGGGGTCCCTCTCGGCTGGACCCGGCCCCGAGGACCAAGCACAGACAATGCTCCGTCGTCCTCCTCCGTTGAGGGGGGAGAGGGGGTGCTGAAGAGAATTTCTACCACAGGTCGTCGCCAACCAAAATAGCTTTCTATTTGTTAGGTATAAATTTAAATTTAAAATCACTTTTTTTTTTTAGGACGGGGGGAGGCCTATGAGACAGGTGGTATCTAATTTTTTTAATGGACCAGAAAAGTTTAAAAAACAAAACAAAACAAAACACCTTCATAGGGGCGGATGCTGTTGAGGTTTTTATGTTCTAGAGAGACCTTTTTAAATTATGTTACAGATGTATATATGTATTTAAAGGCGATTCCCAGCCTCACTTTGCATTTGAACACTTAGCACAGAGAGACGCTTGTTCCAGTGTCGGACCTCTTTTGCTCTGTCCTTGTGAAAAGGGTGAATCAAATAGGAAACGTGGTTTTTCGGTAGATGAGTCTAGCTCTTGCCCGTCCTTTCTGGGAATGTCCTGGGCCCTGCTGTCCCCTCTGAACTCCCGTTCGCTTCTGTACCTTTGCCCCGTGTTACAGTAAACGATCAGCGGCAGCACTTGTGACCCTTCCGTGAGCTTCAGTGGGCAAAGTAAAATCCTGCACGAGCCAGCAGGTGCCCTTGAGATGACGGGCCGCTGGGAGCTGGCGTTCGCTGTGGCCCCCACCTGCGTGCGGTCGGTCACTCGAGAGAACGGTGCCACGTGCAATGCGGTGGTCCCTGCAGCTCTCAGATGCCATTACCCTGGGGGCAGGGGAAGGCTTCCGGCAGGGCTCCGGGCCTCTCTGCTCCATGGGCGTGAAGGAGACTTCACCACGAGGGACCCCTGTGCTCGTGTGTGTGCAGACGTGCCTGCCGTCACTGGCCAAACTCCGCTGTGTTCCATGTGACGTGAACCCCGCTCCCTTCCTGGTGCACCCATGTCCCCCAGGAAAAAAACCGCGTAAGGGACACCTTTTTTTTTTTTTTGTACAATTAGAGATTATCCGAGCAGGATGTATGTTTTCTACAAATGAAAACGTGCCCCGCCTGGAACCAGAGGCAGAATGCTGCCCGCCTTTACGGTTGTAGATCGGCGTGGCCGTGTGCGGGCGAGCGGTGTCGGGCCCCTGATCGCACCGTGGTTGCGCCCAGCTCAGAAGGGAGGAAGGGGCAGGACTGAAGAATTGGAATTATGTGGCACATGGAGAGAATTCCTGGGAATGGGTCAGCACCCGCCCGGGCGGTTTGGGATTCCTGGACCTCGTTTTCTGAATCTGCTGTTTTGAAACACATCATGTTGATCACTGGGTGTAATCAGCCTACGATCCCTATCGGGCTGAAACATTCTTATGTACCTATCGACTCAGATACTGAAGACCAACTGGCTAGGAAATAAAAAGAAAAACACCTAGAAAAACTACGTTTTTTATGCTGCAAGAAGCAGGACCCGCAGTTCCCCAATGATCACACGAAATAACCTTAAATTCTGCTCCCCGTGTCCACCCTCATTCTTCCCAGAGATTGTCTCTCACCTTCTCCCCAAAGAAGAGACAAACCCAGTTGCACCTTAAACCGTGGATATTTTTCCTCAGGGGCTTGAAGTAGTTTCCTATGCAACATGTCTTGTAGCACAAATTGAATTCTACAAAAGTTGCAGTAAATTTTATTTGCGTATTTTAACCTATTAGTGTGCGTGTGTTTTTCTGTACCCATCCAGACTTTAAATTTTGTTTAACATTTATTCATTTTTGAGAGAGAGAGAGAGAGAGAAAGCAGGGGAGGGGCAGAGAGAGGGAGACACAGAATCCAAAGCGGGCTCCAGGCTCCGAGCTGTCAGCACAGCACAGAGCCCGACGCGGGGCTCGAACCCATGAACCGCAAGTTCACGACCTGAGCCGAAGTCGGACGCTTAACCGACTGAGCCACCCAGGCACCCCTACCCCACCAAACTTTTAAAAAACAATAAAACCTAGTGTTTTATCTGTGCATAGAATAATGGCTCCCTCCTTAAAGAGCCACCCCTGGATGACAGTGTGACAGTTGGTTTAGCACGTTACTTTTATATTCTTACTGAATATTCTCTAGGCCGGTCCAAGAAGTTCAGTTGAAACCTCCATTTCTTTATTGATGTTAATTTCAACGCTTGTAATAATAGTAATTTGCATATGAAGTGAGTGTATTTGCAGGTGTTTTTAAGGACCAAATATTCAGGAAAAGAATTTGGTTGAAAACCATTCTAATTTCCCAAGAAGAAGACCATTGTGTCCATGATAAATTCCCGCCTTGGTCCTCGCTTGACCGCCACGCAGTCATGTCACGTGGGGCCCATGTCAAATCGCTTGTGATCACCGAGCCCCCACCCCTGTGTCACCTGGTGCAGCAGCCAAGCCCAGGCTTGGTCCTGGGACCTTCCCCACCAGGGGTCACCAGATCCCAGCACCCTGCGATCTCCCAACCATTGCTACTGTCCTGACCGGACCACAACCTTTGCCTTCTCTCCTTCTACTCTCCTTACTACTTACTACTTAGCACCCTCCCATCTGGTCCACAGCCCGCTCTCCCCTCCTGCTTCCCGCCATACGGTCAACTCTGGGCTCACCCTCACCCTTGGCTGTGCCTCCCACGCGCTTGTCCCAGGCTGAGCTCCCTCGACCATCGCCTACACCCGCAACTCCCTGCCTTTGAGCTGTTGCCCCAAGCTGGCACACCTCTCCTTTCTTCAAGGAGCCACACTGAGCTCCTTAAGGGCATCCTGTGTCTAAACTTGTCGCCGAATCCCCAGAGCGTGATGCCATAAACGTATCGCGGGAGGCAACTGACCATACCTCCGCAATAGAAACGCATCCCGAACGAGGATCGCTTGGCTCTCGGAGGGCCTAGAACGGCCTTTGTACTGGGTTTACGACCCGTGTGCACGTATTTGGCCCAGCAATGGGGGCATTGGACTCAGTTTTGGGTGTTCAAAGGGGGAAACGTGGCGGGGGTGGAACTCAAGTGTACCCCAAAAGCAATTAGTTTTCCTACTAGTTCATTTCTGGGCACGAGGGAAACACTGTCAGTTTGGCCCCACGATGTATGCTGTAATAAAATTCAGTATTGTCTAAAATAGGTTGAGATGGCTTCATCTGAAACCGTCAAGTAACCTGAATTTAGGGGAAAAATTGTCCTGCCAAGTGTCCAGCCTTTGCTGCGCACCTGTAGTCTATGAAAGGTGTGCTGTTTAACCTTCGTGGTGACCTTGGTTTCAAAGATGAGGAGGTTGGCCGGGGGCGGGGAGGGGGCGGGCGGCAAACAGGATGAGCGGGGGCCAGCGAGAGCCCCGTCCACCCCAGCCGTGCCCTCCCGCCACACCAGAAGCAGAGAGAACCCCTACAGTTCACGGCCACCGCCTGGGAAGCAGGTGCCCGGGAGCGAGGGGTTCCCGTTGACGGCTGCGTTCTGGGAAGGGGGCTGGGGGTCCACCCCTCTCGGATCTCTGCCAGAGCATGTGTGAAAACCTTCAGTATGTAACGTATTTGCACTTAGCCCAAATTTTTCTTTTTTGACAAATTTTGGCTTTATTGAGGTACACTTGACATATAAACAAAAGTCTTCTGGGGCACCTGGGTGGCTCAGTCGGTTAAGCATCCGACTCTCGATTTCAGCTCAGGTCATGATCTCCCAGTTCGGGGGATCAAGCCCTGCGTTGGGGTCTGTACTGGCAGCGTGGAGCCTGCTTGGGATTCTCTCTCTGTCCCTGCCCCCAGCCCCCAATATATTTATATAGATTTTAAGTCTTCCTTTTTTTCTAAGTTTATTTATTTTGAGAGAGAGAGGGAAAGAGAAAGAGTGAGTGCACACGAGCAGAGGAAGAGCAGAGAGAGAGAGAGAGGCAGAGAGAGAATCCCAAGCAGGCTCTCCGCTGACCACACAGCCCGCTGTGGGGCTCCATCCCACGAACCGTGAGATCATGACCTGAGCCAAAGCCAAGAGTCAGACACGTAACCAGCTGAGCCACCCAGGCGCCCCGACATTAGCCAGAATAGTATTTCTTTTTTTAATTTTTTTTTTCAACGTTTTTATTTATTTTTGGACAGAGAGAGACAGAGCATGAACAAGGGAGGGGCAGAGAGAGAGGGAGACACAGAATCGGAAACAGGCTCCAGGCTCCGAGCCGTCAGCCCAGAGCCCGACGCGGGGCTCGAACTCACAGACCGCGAGATCGTGACCTGGCTGAAGTCGGATGCTTAACCGACTGCGCCACCCAGGCGCCCCCAGAATAGTATTTCTAAAGCTTTTGCTTCTCTGAGCCGATTCCACAGAACGGAGGAGAAGGGAATCTCGAAAAAATACGCTGGTCGTGTCCGTGACTTTTTCAATATCCAAAGTCGTGTTTCTTAATTTTCCATTTCAATTGGTGTGCTTTTCAGAAGAATGTCTATAAACTCATGTCCTGAGTATATAGCACAACCTTCTTTATAATCTTCACCTCGGGGGTCAGCAGAAGACCACGAAAACGGAGTGTGCGTGCGGCAGGGAGGGTCGCCTGCCGTGTGTCGCCTGGAAGCCAGTCTTGGGCACACGGGGTGTCAAGGGAGAGGAGAGCCGGCTCCTGGCCCTCCAGGAGTCTGTATTCCAGGAAGGAAGATCCAGGCCTTTGAAACTGAAGGGAGATTGAAACGTCATCGTCCGAATGGACCGAGAAAGAATTTGAGAAACCATGGTGTGTTCTCCCCACGCACACCAGCTCCCAGCCTATTGATCATTAAGGCTTCTGATTCAACCCCTTCCATTTCTCTCAGGGGGCTCCGCCTCTAATCCCGACCACCAGCACGTCTCCCCCCTACCTGCAACTCCGGGCTTGTCCCCTCCAGCCATCCTGCACACGGCCACCAGAATGGTCCTCCTCAAATATAAACCCATGCCCCCATTTTCTCCAGCCCCCTGTGTTTAAAGCAGATGAACAGAAGCCTCTCAAGCGCCCGCCCACAAGTCCTTGCTGACCCTGAAGTAAGGACAGCATGCTGAGCACTTCCGTTCGGCCAAACTTAGGTCCACCCAATAATCACTCCTGATTCTGCGATTAAGTCCTTCATGCTTTTTTGGTGTTAAAATGTCCTTTATGTGGGTAACTGATAATAGTGAACTGTAGATATTGCGGTTTTAATGCCTGTCTTGGCAAAGTAAAATGTTGGCCGAGGACAGACATCCACGCGTTTTTGGTTGTTTTTTTTTTTTTTTGAAGACTTGAATCTTTGGACAAATAAGGGAGAAACGACACGAAACCGTCTATTTCTGTGACTCTTTGTGGCTGTTTCTACTCAGACCACCCTCTTCACCCGTGGTGATAGCGTGATCATGTTTTCTGGGTGCTCGGAGAACACGTTTGCTATGTTTGGAACCCAGAGCATGCAAACTCGCAGCTTCTCTTGCAGCTAAATGCGGGCGTGTGGCTCACTTACGCCATGCAGCTCCCTGATTCACAGACCAGCGACTTGCAGAGGGAGGAGGGGGTGTGATGGACCTTCCGGCGTTCCGGGCAGCGGTGGTCACGGGGCACCCTCCTCGCCCCGTCATGGCATCGGTGCTAGCCAGCGTCCGTGGTTGGTGTGCAGGGGCGCATCCCTCACCAGCCTGGTTCTGGACACCGGCATGGAGCGTGGCTCCTCTCCCAGCCCTCTGGCGAATGACCCAGTTCCAATTTCTGTTGCCTGCAAATAAGCATGTGGGCTTCCGACCGGTTTTATTCCTTCGAGATTCCGCTCTGATAATCAGACTCCCCTGGGAAGTCCTCTGGGATGTACCAAGGAAAACCCTTCCCCTGTTTTCCCACAGCCCTCCGCCCTTACCCCAAGTATAATCTGAAGCTTTCTGTGTCGGAGCTGTGCCTTTGCTGGCTGGCCCCCCAGACCATAAACTGAGCAAGGGAGATGTCTAGCTCACGCTAAGTTCAGACGCCCCCTCACTAAATCCTCGGATGCGTGGCTGGATGAGTGGACAACTCCAGGGACCTGCCAACCCATCCATCCAGGGGACCGGAAGCTAAGCCCTGGCTCCTGAATAGCTTTGTGTAGGGGGTTCTTTTTATCAAACACATAGAAGTTTTCTTTTTTTTTAATGTTTATTTTTACTCTTGAGAGACAGAGCATGAGCAGGGGAGGGGCAGAGAGAGAGAGACACACAGAATCCGAAACAGGCTCCGAGCTCCGAGCTGTCAGCGCAGAGCCCGACGCGGGGCTCGAACTCACAAGCCGTGAGATCATGACCTGAGCCGAAGTCGGACGCTTCACCGGCTGAGCCACCCAGGCGCCCCTCAAGCACATAGAAGTTGTATGGGGAGACTATTCTGGATTTTTTCTAGAAATATTTATATCTCTACTCAGTTCACCAGTCTTCCCGCTATAATATTACATGTCTTTTGCTCGGCTGGAGCTCACACTCGGAAAAACAAGGGTTTGCTTTACTGTTCACACATCCACATCTTCTTCTCCGTCCCAAATGCAAAGTCATCTCACACCCAAGGTGTGGATGATCACAGCTAGGTGAGAACAGCAGACGCGGAAGCACTTGGTGAACATCTATAGCCCCCCGGGGAACGGTCTTGTCACAGGCCTACCTGGGCACCTGAGCAAGCAGGACGCAGGACGCAGGACGGGCAGGCAGGACGCAGGACGGGTTGCCTGGCAATCCCAGCCATCCCA